TTCTTGAGGCAGGCATTGTACATATTTAGAAGCACTTGAGGGCGTTCTGTGGCGATTATTTTTAGAACTTCTGCTGGAATGCCGTCTGGGCCTGGTGCTTTCTTGGCCTTTACTCTATTAGTGGCGGACTTGAGCTCTTCTGCGGTAAATGGTGGTATTTCTTGAGGAGCGATGATAGGCTCCATTTCTTTGGTTAATGCCTCATGCGTGGGAAAGAGTTCGCTTACTATGTAGTCCATTTTTTGAGCGCTAAGCTCTGGTGGTTTTGCCATGGCCCCAAGGTTTTTCATTACCACCTTGTATCCGAGACCCCAGGGATTTCTGTTTATATCCTCACGCAGTTCTTTCCACTTTCTGTTCTTGCTGGCCTCGATTGCTCGTTTGAGTTCTTTTCTAGCAGCTTGGTATAGTTGTGCCTCTTCGATTGCAGCGCTTCTACGCCTGGCCCTGGTGTAAGTACGCCTCAGGTGGAGGCACGTTCGTCTTAGTTGAGCTATGTTTTCCGTCCACCAATATGCAGGTGTTTTGTGTCGATTGCTTCCAATTGTCGGCATCGCTTTGGTACAGGCTCTGGAGATCATTTTCATTGTAGTCTCTACTATTTCCATTGCGTTATTGTGAGAGGATTCTTCTGAGCCATGCGCATTTATTTCAGATAGTAGTGCTTCACTATTTAATTTCGAGACATTCCATTTGCGAGTGCTACATTGCATCTTCTTTCGTAAACCATCGTTTTTGGAGTCTATTATAAAAGAGATGTATTGGTGATCGCTACCAGTGTAATCTTCCAATACTTTCCATTCCTTTATGGTGCCTGCTATGCCTTCTGATGCTAGTGTGATGTCTGGCGTGGTTTCCTCGCATCCTGGTCTTCGGAAGGTTGTTGCTGCGCCAGTATTTAGCACTATAAATCCGAGTCGGGCTGACATTTCTAGCACGCGTTTGCCTCTGGAGTCCGTGATTGGCATCCCCCACTCCGTGGCTCTTGAGTTTAGGTCTCCTGCCATCAGAAAGGGTCCTTCCAAGTTCATGGCCGTATCTTCGATATCGTCGAGTTTATCTTGGAAGTCTTGTATGCTATCGTTTGGTGTCAGGTAGCAGCTTATTATTTTTATATGGTTGTATCTGGCCCAGGCGAAGCCGTTTCCATGTCCTTTTTCAGAGATGTGTATGCTGCTTCCGGGGGGAGCCCATATAGCAGCGGTGCCACTGCTGTCTTCTATCCAGATCCCGTTTTCTTTTTTCTTATACTGTTCGCTTATGATTACAAGGTCATAATGCCGCTCAGTGATCATCTGTGTCAGTAGCGCGTCAGCCGTTTTACTTCTGTGCATGTTGGCTTGCAGGACATTCATTTCTTGGACCAGTTTCTATATACTGAGCATCTTATGGAGCTTGGGATGTGATCCAGCTCAGTGTATTTGGCTTCCGAGCACAAGCAGCATTTTGGTGGCTTATTACACTCTTTTAGCTTATGACCTGGTTGACCGCATTTTATACAGAGGCCTTGCCCTCTTCTGTCTGGGCCTTTGCAGCCCCCGATTAGATGGCCAGGGCCAAAACATCGAAAGCACCTCTTGCAGTTTTCTTTGAGTCGCACTCTACAGTTAATACAGCCGATTTTGATCCTTGCTTGCTTTATTATTATATCAGCTTTTTCTTCATTGAGCGTGACGAAGGCCCTCACCTGTTCTCTACTGTTGGGAGCGGAGATGTTGATCTTCATAGCTTTGTCGTATCCTTGCAGCATACCCCTTACTGAGTCTTCGACTTCCTCTTTTGTCGTTAAGGAATCGAGGTCTCTTATTTCGACTGTGGCCCTTGGTTTAAGGTCTGCTACAGTAGCGGTCTCTCGTAGGGTGCACTTTAATACCTCGCAGAAGCTTGAATTCGCCGATTGCCCCTTCTCTAGCTCCAGTAGTACTGCTCCAGCCCTTGTTTTCCGGATTCCCTTCAACTTGACTTCATCACTTGATTTCAGCTTACTGCGAATATTTTTCAGGACATCTGCGTAGCTGTTCCCTTCTGCCGGCTTAATCACTACGGCCTCTGAGAGTTTTTTAGACTTAGTAGGGCCTTTTCGCTTCTCGTTTGCCTTTTTTTCGGGAGATTTTGGTTTGCCTGGCGTGTTTTCTTTCCCGTCCGGTTTCTTCGCCTTTAACTTCTTGTTCGTCACTTGTTTCCATTCCCCGTCCTTTTCTTTTCGCGTTTTCTGAGTTGGCTGCTGTTCTGGTGGGCTTGCCGCTCGTCTTTTTAGTGGTGTCGTGGTGTCTGTCAGGTTAGCCTGGGCAGCACTTCCGATCTCTTTTTCTTTCATTTTCCAGTTTCTGCGGTAGCTTTGGATGATGTCGAACATTTCTTCTAGTTGTGCAGCTCCATTCTTGACCTCGAGGCTGACATTCCTTTGTTTCGCTATAGCTTGCTTAATTTTTTGGACGATGCTTTTGCATTTTTTCAAGGACTCCTCTTCTGCGAGTCTCATCTTGATAATAAAGTCCTGTCTTGGAGAGATAGGACCTGGCGTTGTCGGGTGTACAGCTGGCGAAGTGTTTTTCTCCTGTCTTGAATTTTTGATGCCTTCTATCTCTGGGCGTGTTAAGTCGACCAGATCTGTTGCTTCTGGGGCATGATCAGCGTTCGTAACTGCTTTCGCTTGTTTGGACTGCAGCGTTGGCGTGCTCTGCAGGATTGGCGAGCGCAAAGTCCTGCTGCTTCTGCGGAATATGCCTACATTCTCTTCTTGGATAAGAGCGCTGTGTGCTTCTTTGTTCTTTTTGTTGGTTTGGTTTTGGAGTGTTCATTTGTGCTTTTGGGTCTCCGCTTCAAGCCGCTATCTCCACACGTAGCACAGTCGCCTTTGAATGTCCCCGAAGTTCCCTCCTCAAAAGAGCAGGCCATCGCGAGGGTTGTTACATTTCCTTATGGGACATTGTGTTCAGAGCCAAGGACAGCGCAAAACCAGGAGTTATAGCGACCCGATCTTCGCCATTTTCACTGGAAGTATTCTTTTGAAAATGAGTGACAGCAGTGCAAAATTTCATGTGCCTAGCTACTTAAATGGAGGAGTTATAACGAAAAGTCTTATATCTGAACAATCAGTTGTATGAGAGCTATAGGTTATAGTCACCCGATCTTTGTAATTTTCACTCTAAGTTTTCTGTTGATAATGGGTGAAAGTATTGCAAAATTTCATGTTCCAAGCTGCGTAAATGGAGATGTTATAACGAAAAATCTCATATCTGAACAATCAGTTGTATGGGAGCTATATGTTATAGTGGTCCGATTCTTCCTGTTCCGACAAATGATTAATACACTATAAAAATACACCCACCTACCAAATTTCATCCGGATATCTCGAAAACTGAGAGACTAGATTGCATACAAACAGACGGACAGACAGACAGACAGACTTACAGACGGACAGACGGGCATGGCTAAATCGACTCAGCTCGGCGTTCTGATCATTTAAGTATACATTTTAATGGGTCTATGTCTTCTTATTCTGGTACTTACAAACATCGGACCAAAGTTATAATACCATTTCATGATAATGAAAGGTATAAAAATGCAACGTAAATAATGTAACAGTATCTCTTATTATTCCGATTGTGAACGGATTATATCGCAATATGACGGAGCAAGCGAACAATTTGAAAAGTCAACATGGTATCATTCTTTGCTCTAAATTATTGGAGGGAATTAGAAAACTAAACTAGAACGCCAACACGAATGGCAACGATTTTAGATCCACGATTTAAAAAAGAAGCTTTTATATCTGAAAATAAAGCTAACGAAACATCAAATTTACTTGAAACTGAAATTATGCATTTTATGGGGCATTCACACACGCAACCACCTTCCCAACAAGAAGCACCGGAAGGTGAAGATACACTTTTTTCATTTCTACTCGAAAAAAATAGAAACAATAGGTTGTCAAAACGGGCAGATTCAATTTTAATAAAGCGCCAGCACTTGGAGAGGTACAATGCCGCGCAAAATACAAACCCCCTGGATTACTGGAAGGAATACACTGAAAATAAATTCTGCGTAAATATAACGAAACATCTTACGAAATTGTTCGCCATTTTGAGCCACGAATGTTTTCGTTAATTGTACAAAACCGTTTTCGTACAAACTACGAAAATATGAGACATCAGATCTTTAGTATATCTTAAGAATGCATTCGTATTATTCACTAACGAATTTCGTACTATTTACTAAAGAATTTCGTACTATTTCTTTGTCTTTTCGAAATTTTTGTAAAATGTACAAAAATAGATCGTATATTTTACGAAATTTTTTTCGTAAAATCTTCTCTTGTTTCGTAGAATGTAATAATAATAATAATAATA